GAGATGAAAAAGGAATGATAACTGGAATTTTGTAGGGAACCCATTGCATTATTTTGAAAACTAACAAGTGAAAGGGAAGAGCAAGCATTTGTTCTGTCTCTTCTGGGTGACCTGTACTTCAGAGTAACCAAGTACGAAATGGAGAATGTTCTCTTTCTGGAAGTTTTCTAGGTAATAGAAAAAAGATAGAATATTACCATTTCACAATTCCTAATCCCTTAATGGATATTAATGAATTAACTGATATTATTGATTGCTGGCATCACAGAGGGGCCCTGGTGGTGAGTGAGTTGGGAGTAGCTTGGACCCATTACCTACTCCTTGGAAGAAAGATGAGAGAGGTCTGCTCCTGTTGAGACTTACAGCCTTAGAAACCTGGGAGAAAGGGCCCAGGAGGCAGAATTGGCTTCATAGGTTTTGTTTATTTGTTTTCAGCATCACAAAGAGATGACCAGATGTTGTGAGCCTCTTGATGGAAAACATCCCCCATGAAATATTCTTGTCTGTAAATCACACTTGAATTTAATTAAGTTGGGGGTCCTGTAAGGTGAAGTGTTCCCTCTGAGATTTTTGGCATTTTTTAACCAAACAGCAGCAGGAAGTATTGCATAAAGTTTACCAACAGTGCTTTCAAACTTTAGGAACAGGGACCCCCTTTTGAAGGAAAAAAATTTCTCACAGACCCCTAATTGGTGATTGAAATTATTCTTACTATGTGACTTGCTATTAGATTCATCTAGATGGGACCAATTTATGTTCATAATTCTCATGCAACTATAAAACCAATATAAGTTTACAAATCAAATCCAGACAAAGCTACCACACTAATGAAATCCAAGTAAACAGCACTGATGTAATCTAAAGAAAGCTATTTTTCTAAAATGAAATTGCTGCTTATGAAGGGGTGGGTATTTGAATGCTTTGGTGGATGTTCTTTGGTTTCAGCACTTCTGGGAGTGGAGTGACATAATTCTCTCACCATTTTTCTCTAAAACTATCAAGAATTATCTTCTTGTGACTTCAGTTGACCTTTGGTTGGCAGGAATTCTTTGTTAACAACTTGGTACGAAGGTGAGTACAAACACAAACTCAAAAGTTTGTGATTGATGCAACTAGAAATCAGCTACAAGGTGATTATCCAGATCTAGGATTCTAAGCCTTGAGCTCTTTTTACAATTAGTATTAAACTGAGAGGTTCGATTTCATGAACCTCTGTGAGGCATTTGTATTTTATAAAGGCTTTCCGGGCTCTTCTAATAAAATGTGCATCCAGTACTGAGAACCGCTGATTTGGATGATCTGGAAAGAGCTTAATCTGATTTTTCTTTAGTTTTAGTTGTGTGGCCTTGGGCAAATTAACCTCTCTTAAGTTTAGTTTTTCATTATAGAAAGAAACTATTTCCAAAAACAACAACAACAAAAAATCCCTGGACCACATGGTTTTATAAGTGAATTTTATCAAACATTCAGAGAAGAACTGTCACCAATTCTACATAAACTATTTCAGAAACTAGAAAAAGATGGAATTCTCTCAGACTCATTCTATAAAGCAAACATATCCTTGATACCAAAGCCAGGTAAAGACACCATCAAAATACAAAACTATAGGCCATTATCTCATGAACATAGATGCAAATATCCTGAGTAAAATCCTGGCCAATAGAATCCAGTAATACATTAAAAGATATAAAAATAATTCACCATGACTAAGTGGGATTCCAGGTATGCAAGGATGGTTCAACATAAGAAAAACAATCAGTGTAATTCATCACATTAACAAAGCAAAAAACAAGAACCACATGATCCTATCAATCAGTTGATGCAGAAAAGGCCTTTAACAAAATCCAAACCCTTTCCTAATTAAAATATTCAACAAAATAGGAATACAGGAGAATTGCCTCAACATAGTAAAAAGTATATCTGTAAACCCAAGAGTCAACATTGTTCTCAATGGAGAGAGATTAAAGGCATTCCCTTTGAGAACAGGAATTAGGCAAGGATGCCGGCTATCATCTCTCCTATTCAATATTGTATTGGAAGTCTTAGCGATAGCAATAATACAAGAGAAGGAAAAGAGATATCTAAATTGGCAAAGAGGAGGTAAAATTATATGTAGATGATACAGTAGTATACTTAGCAAACCATAAAGACTCAGCAAGAAAACTACTGGACATTGACCAATTCAGCAAAGTGGTAGGATACAAGATCAACATACAAAAATCAATTGGATTTCTCTACAGTGACAAAGAGAATACAGAACTGGAGCTAAGAAAAGCAATACTCATCACAATAGTTAATCACAAGGTTAAATACTTGGGAGTAAATCTAACTAGAAACACAAAGGACCTATTCAAAGAAAATTAGAAAACATTACTTCAAGAAACAGAGACCTGAAGAAATGGAAGAATATACCTTGCTCTTGGATAGGAAGATTTGATATTGTAAAAATGACAATTCTACCAGAGGCAATTTACACGTTCAGTGCAATCCCAATACAAATACCAAATCCATTCTTCAACGAGATGGAAAAGACAGTCTCCAATTTCATCTGGACTGTAAAGAGACCACAAATAAGCAAAGAACTCCTTTAAAAAAAGAAACAAGGTAGGACGCATCTCACTTCCTGACCCCAAATCCTACTACACTGCCATGGTAGTCAAGACAGTGTGGTACCGGTACAATGACAGACACATAGATCAATGGAATAGAATTGAGAACCCAGAAATCAGCCCATCGACCTAT